GGATTATAAAAGTTGTCTACAAAAACATCTGGAGGGCCAAATGGCCCATCCTTGATTGACAAGGCACAAGATTAAAGGGCCGTAAAATCTGAGCAAAGTACAAGTAACAGTTTGATCAGCAATTGCAGAGTGCAATTAAGAATAAACAGAGGTGGCCAGCAGAAGTCGCTATTGTAACATAACTATCATTCAAGCCAACAGCAACAGAACTTTTCAAAACAGTACTAATGATATCAGTAGTTTCTCTCTTCCAGTAATCTGTCCAATTAAAATACAATATTCAGCTTAATTTTTTCCATTGCTGCTATAATGACTTTTCTACAAATGCTGAAAAACATCACAATAAAATGTTGAGGTTTTCCTTGAGGCAGTTCTAGACTCTTACAAACTACATGGATTAAGTCACCTTTATCTAAATTTTATTTACCAAGTAAACAACAGCAGCTAACCTGTTTTCCACCATTCCTTTAAATTCAGACATTATGGCTTCCATTTAAACTGAACAATAGGCTTAAATATTTTGCTGCTTGAAATGAGGAGTGAGGGGATAGTCAAATTACAGTATGTGCCTTTGATTGAAAGCTATGTTAAAATTGGCACACCGTTATGCCCATTTCCACCCTTTATGAAATTTTATGCTAAATGGCACTTGTCAGTATATGAAAGGTACAAGAAGTCTTTATAAAAAATCATAGGAAACATTTGCTTGTAGCAGCAGATTCTAGACGGGCATTCCTGTGCTGGCTAGCTTTGATGGAGCTGTCATCCAGAAACAATTTAGATCCATGGACCAGGCAGGGCACAGGTTCGCAACCTCGGGGGGTTGCAAAGTGTTTTCTGGAGGGTTGCTATTATTTTTGTTGCATTTATATTTATTATATTAAATAAGGGTAAATATGGTATACACAATGCTGTGTTCTTTTAAACCTATTGATAGATTATTTTAATCTGAACTGGAATTGCAGGCAACCTAGAGTTCTTATTTCTGTGCCTCTTTGGGTGGATCTTGTTTTTATGCATGCCTATCACTCCTGTTGTTGTTGTTTCGTCGTTATGTCCAACTCTTCGTGACCCCGTGGACAAGAACACGCCAGGCCTTCCTGCTTTCCACTGTCTCCCAGAGTTGGGTCAAATTCATGTTGGTAGCTTCAGTGACACTGTCCAACCATCTCGTCCTCTGTCGTCCCCTTCTCCTCTTCCCTTCGCACTTTCACAACATCAGGGTCTTTTCCAGGGAGTCTTCTGTTCTCATAAGATGGCCAAAGTATTGGAGCCTCAGCTTCATGGTCTGTCATTCCAGTGAGCACTCGGGGTTGATTTTTTTCAGAATGGATAGGTTTGTTCTCCTTGCAGTCCAGGGGACTCTCAAGAGCCTCCTCTAGCACCACAATTCAAAATAATCAATTCTTCGGCGGTCAGCTTTCTTTATGGTCCAGCTCTCATTTCCATATATCGCTACTGGAAAAACCATAGCTTTGACTATGCAGACCTTTGTCGGCAAGGTGATGTCTCTGCTTTTTAAGATGCTGTCAAGGTTTGTCATCGCTTTCCTCCTAAGAAGCAGGCATCTTTTAATTTCATGGCTGCTGTCACCATCTGCAGTGATCATGGAGCCCAAGAAAGTAAAATCTGTCATTGTCTCCATATTTTCCCCTTCTATTTACCAGGAGCTGATGGGGCCAGCGGCCATGATCGTAGTTTTTTTTTGATGTTGAGCTTCAGACCATTTTTGCGCTCTCCTTTTTCACTCTCCCTATCATTCCCTATCTCCCTTGCATTTTGTTTCCCTCCTCTTCTCTGCTCTTTGTAAGGCCTCGTTGGAGAGCCACTTTGCTTTCTTGCATTTCCTTTTCTTTGGGATGGTTTTTGTTGCTGCCTCCTGAATGTTGTGAGCCCCCTTCCATAGTTCTTCAGGCACTCTGTCCACCAAATCTAGTTCCTTAAATCTGTTCTTCACTTCCACTGTGTATTCGTAAGGGTCTATCTTTCTTTGGTTGTCAATTCTAGAAGGTGTAGTAAGTTTTCATAGAGTTGGTCAATTTCAGCCTCTTCAGCATCGGTGGTTGTTGCATGAACTTGGATTAACTGTGATGTTGAAAGGTCTACCTTGGATTCGTATTGAAATCATTCTATCATTTTTGAGATTGTATCCCAGTATACCTTTTCCCACTCCTACACCCACCAAAAGAGCTGCTTTTGCCCATTTCTTTCTGCTCCTCCTGTTTGGAGGATTGACGTCAGCTCCTTGGATTGGAGCGTTAGCCCAGCTCAGAGAGCATGAATGAGGCGAGCACACAGTGGACTCCAGGAACACTGACACCCAAGATGGCAACAGTATTGGAAAATTGAAGCTGCCATGGCAGCAGTGCCTTTCGCTCCACCTGAGTCTTCAGCTGTTCTGTGTGTTGTGGCGGCAGCACAGTAATAGGAGAGGGGATCTGGGCAGGGAGATGCCTTTGGGCCCCGCCTGGGTCATGAAGGAGGAAGGCAAGAGGGACAAAAGGTGAGAGAGGTGACTTGGATGGGGGGCACAAGGCAGGACCTGTAGGGGAGATGTTTATTTGTGCTTGAGGGGGAAAGGCTCTTCACTGAGGGGGCTTTTTTTGAGGGGGAGACACATGAAAGGAGGATTGTTTCCACACCCAAAAAAGTAAATTAAACTCAACATGTATTGACATTTTCCCCTCCTTTTCAAATTTTATCTGGCACAGGCAGACTTACAGCCCCCTCACTTTGTTATGTATTAGATTATTATTAATATATTAGGATAGAATTATAATCCACAAATCTATTTTTGTTTCCCCATTAAAAATGCTTTTTTATGCATATATGGCAGAGGGGTTGCAGGTTACTTGTCTATTATAAAAGAAGGTCACAATTCAAAAATATTGGGAAACACTAAGATAGGACATGACAAAACTCATTGTACTTTTTACTGCAACAGATGATCAAAGCTAGTTCCTTGAAGGCTTCAGTTATGGTCACATCAACTATTAGATCCACTTGAAGACACATTCAGTACTGGTTTAAGCCCACAGTTAGGGCTCCTGTGCAAGAAAGCCAGGAAAATGGGAAGCAAAGGTCGATAATGTAATAAATGTGCCCTGTGGTCCAGAATGATGGTGTGCAGTGTCACTGATTGTACATGCTTTCAACATCTTCCATGTACCCACACTTTGCCTTGGGATTTTTGGCCCAAAATTGAATGGGGTAAGGGGGAAAGGAAGATGCCTCCCCTTGGCTTGGTCTTGTATTGCCTTGTGAAGCTGTATTGCTAGAAATTCTTTGTCAACACAAAGTCCTTTCTGACAACTGGTAAAAAGGAGGAGGTTAATATGTAGATTTTTCAGGACGTTTTAACTGTCTGTAGCCCTGGTGATAGTTACTGGATCGGTTTGAAATTTGGCAGATTGGTAGAGCTTCTCATGTAGACCAAGTCTACCAATTCTGAGTGTATGAGATCACCGGGTGCCATTTTTTTTCAGCAACAGAATTTCAATACCTGTGTTTTTCACTGAAAAATGACAGCATGTTTAACAACTGTAGAGTTGTCCCTATGGAACTCATATTAATATTGTGACCTCACTGGTAGTAGTGGAGAAATGGAGCATATATAAGACTGGGAATATCTGGTCCTTCCTTTCCTTTAAATGAAGCGCGGATGCCATGAAACTTGGATTAATGTAATTATTCCTTATATGGTGTTTAGAAGGACTCCAGTATTGGCAAAGGTAAACAATATTTTTCTCCATTTTATTCTAAGGGTAAAAGAATCCATAAGGCCAAGGCCTTTAAAACTATAGCCAGTGATTGCAAATTGCTGGTGAATGATACCAGACCCTGAGCAATGAAGATTTCCTTAATTTAGAAAGACCTGGGTTGCTTGATCAATTAATCCCTTGCAGTGGCACTTTTTGTCCTTCTCCAGCAGCACTAGCCATGGAAGAGTCTTCAGGTGACCTGGAGGTTTTCGATGTCACACTCACCACTGTTCAGCAGCTGTGGCAATGACTGACATGGCCCAACCTATGATGCCAACCATAAGGCTACACAGACAAACACAAGAGGCTTGGGGAAGCTATTTTGAAATGAGAGGTTTCCTTTTCTGCAGTAAAGTCTTTGCTAAACAATCCTCCATATTAAAAATTAGAGATTAGCTGAAAACAAAACACGGAGTTATGTATAAACATGCATTGTAAGACATCTGTCGCCTGTCTGTGGACATTTAAACAATTAATCAAGATCATGCCATAGCGTGATCTTGTCTTGTTGAAGGACAAATGATAGTCTACCTCACCTTGGTTCACAATACCAGAAAGTCTCCTCTATCTTCACTTATTAGCAGTACTGCAAATCTATTATATTTACTGTATAACCCCGTCTTTCCTGTGGTGAGTTCAAGGTGACGTAATATGGACCGTCTTCTCTTCACTTATCATTGCAGCCCTGTGAGAGAAGTCAGGCTGAGCGAGAGAAAAAGGATGTGGCCCACAATTGCCCAAGAAGTTTCATGGCTCAGAAGAGGACTAGAATCTGAGTCTTCTAGGTTTCTATCCAAACTCCCTATTAGCCCTAGGTGGTGATGGGAAGTGTAGTCCAACATCATCTGGTAGCCACAAGTTGCCCACTTCTGGTATTTCAGCTGACAGCCTAAAACGGCTGTAACACTGTTAGCAATCAAATCTGGAGACTTAAGAGTGAGACAAAGGGAACAACCTGGGAAGGCAGCTGTACTAGAAAGCAGCTTTGTAAGTGTAAACCATTGTTTTCTACAGCAAGCGTTTGTTTTCTTCTGTAGCAGCCAGTAATTTTCAACCTGCTTCCTGTTAGAGCAGTATGACAGTGGAAACAGATATCTCGGGAGTTGGCGAGTGCTCCAACACTGGAGGCATTCAAGAAAAACTTTGATAATAACCTGGTAGATATGCTTTGATTGTATTCCTGTGCTGAGCAGGAGGTTGGACTTGATGGCCTTGTAGGGCCTTCCAACTTCACATTTCTATAATTCTATGCAAATAATACAAAAATATATAAATAAAAACCACACCATTTTGATTTCTCATTCAAAGGAAACAAAAAACAAAACAAAACCATGACATTGCCTCTGGATTTCTTACCCTATCTGACAAAATATGGAATGCATAGTAGTATACGCATACATTTCATGGCTTTTCAAGTAGAGTATAGAACGTAAGAAATTTCAAACATGCTCCCAAGTTAAGAAAAAAGGCCTGAAGGTCATCTGAGATCTTTCAAATGGGCTCCTGATTGGCAAGAAGAGAGCTGAAGGTTGTTGAAACTGGGTGTTATAGCAACTGACTCATATGAGTTATCTAGCAGTTTAGAATGCTTCCAACTGCCTGGTTCCAGAATACCTACCTCCACAGCCATTGGCTATGCTGATGGGGCTGATGGCAGTTTCTAGGGCAACACAGTTGGAGAGCCAAACTTTCCCCACATATCCCTGATATATATTGTCTCCTGTTTCTGCCTGGAAAGAGGCAACAGTAAGACTTTGAACAATTCAGTTAAAAACTATTAATATCAGTTTTTCCATCACTCCTATTGTCTGAATCTTGGTTATGATGCATTTAGAGCAGGAGGGGATAGGCAAATTTTAGCTCTCTGAGATATTATTGGGCTCCAACTCTCAGCAATGTTGGCAGTCCTTGGAAAAGCTTGAAGGGAGCTGCAGTCTTAACATTTGGAGGATCATGTGTTCCATTGGAAAAGTGCCTATTGTTGGAAGAGTGTTACTGTCAATGAATCACAGCAAGCACCCATTGTGACTGGCCCAACCACACAGTTCTGCTATTCAAACACAGCTGCTGTGTTACTGACCAGCTATAAGCTTCACACAGCCATTTGTCAAGGTATTCCTGGTATATTCAAATGGGGCAGTGTCTTGATCTCTATACACTTACCATCCATCTTCAGTTTCTTTGAATGTAAGTGAACTTTTTGGTGGGTGGGTGGGAATAAACTAGTGTCCCTCCCCCAGGAACAGACCTCATTGGCTCCTCTCAGCATGAAGAGGCCATGATCCCTCACAAGGAGAGATGGTGACATCACATAATGGAAATCAAGGAGACTGCCACAACAAACTTCACCTCACCCACACTGCAAAATTGTTCATCTGGGGCTGAGAGATCTTCAGTTGCTGCCAAGATCTTGTTGGTGCCAGCTGATGGGGACTGTAGTGACTTTCTACGAGAGCTGAGATACATCGGGAAATAATTGGAATGGCTTTGTACCTATAGACATAAATTGCAACTCTGTCCTTATTCAGAATAAATCCCACCAAAATGCAGTGGGGCTTGCTTTGTAGGTAGGCATGTGTAGGATTACAGCCTAAACCTCAGTGGTCTGAAGCAAGCCTACATGGTACAATTAGGAATATTCCCCATATTGTAAACTTGCTAGCCTAAAGAAGTTTTAATTGGGACTTTCTTCCCATCTTCTAGTCTTAGCTTGGATCTCCGTGTTACTTGTAATCCTCTCAACAACATCCTCAGTGATGGTTTCTTCTTAGGAAAAACTGCCAGATGGTTCAGTGGTTTAGATATCTGGCTGTGGATTCAGAGGTTGGGAGTTCAATTCCCCCCTGTGCTTCCTTGACACAGGCTAGACTTGATAATTCATACAGTCCCTTCCCGCTCTGCAGTTTTAAGATGATGATGATTAAAAGGAAAAACCAGCAGAGAGGAAGCACTACTACATGGAGTTTCCATGGACACTCTAGTTCACTGCACTCCCAACAGAGTTTCTTTTGTACAAAATGGCAGTCGGCCATACACATAGCGTTATCCCCCTCTCATTATTCACAGAATGCCTGATGAAATTATTCTGGTCAGAAAAACAGAAATGGTGGCAAAATATGTACAGGTGGATTGAACAGATCAACATTTTTGTTTCATTTTGAAAGGGGGGGCACTATGGAAAAAATAAGCCCCCTATACTTTCACAGCCAGCATATACCAGCTATGGGGTGATGGGAGGTGCAGTCCAGCACTGAGCACATATAGAACTGTCCAAATAAATAGAAGCCTGGACAGCCGAGGACAAATACAGCCGAGGTAATACAGCCGCCTAGAGTGGACTGGTAGTCCAGATAGGCGGGGTATAAATCAAATAAATAAATAAGCACCACAGGTCCTCAATTTTTGGGCCTTCCAAAAGCCAGTCATGTGAAAATAGTTATCTGAGCATTCTGTGCTTAACTATGAGCAAAGTTAAAGAAGTGACCCATAGGACTGTGCATATTTATTTAGTAGTAAAAGAAACAGTGTTTTGAATTCAGAACTTAGATCATACAAGCAGATTAACCCTTCGATTGGTCAGGACCAAGGCAAAGTTTCTCTTTCTGTGCTGTAACTGGCAAGAGGGGAGAAGTGGGAGGTATTTTGTTCTCTCTTTTGCAAATTGAAATAGAAGAGTGTCAGTTGTTGTCAGGGTTCTAGTGGGAGAGGGAAAGGGTTCCTTGTGTGCTTTAGTCCTACTTCAAAAAGCATACACACCCCCATACATACTATTACTCTGTGTGTGTGTGTGTGTGCGCGCACACACACACACACACACGAAATCATGTGTAGTGACACACAATTTTAACTGGAGAAAACAGGACAGTAAGATACACCAGTGTCTCCAATTCTGTTATCCCACCATGATCCTCTCCTCCTTTAACATAGTTACTATTAACTTAAAATAAATCCTGAAAATGATCCTGCTTTAAGATCGCCAACATAATGTCTAGTTTGATACTTGGGGCAGAAAACAAAATAAAAGGCCAGCCAGAAGGTGTGCTATGAAGAAGTAGAGTCTGGCTAGTTACGGTTGTAAGTTTACAACAACAAGCACCAATGTTAGCTTTTTAAATAACTTTTAATGTAATGTTTATTAGTTTTCCACCATCCATTCATTTCTGATGCAGACCCCCATATATACCTCCAAGCTTTGTTTTAACTGGAAAATATCTTGGCCAGATCTTAAGTTTTCAGACCAAGCCTTTCATTAATCCAGTAAGGCAAAGACTGAAGGCATCAATAGATATCTGGCATCAACAAACGGCCATTCTATTGGGACATTATGCTGCTGGTATTTGCAAAGGGTGTATAGCCTATAAGAGACAGAATATCAGTTTACATGCATACTTTCTAAGAGGGCAATGCGTGCCTATTTCTCATTTTCTGCAGGCTGCAGCTTGATCTTCTTAACAGCATCAAGAACAGCATCGAGGCTCACTTTGTCTCCAAATTCCTTCTCACGATGCTCCAAGAGAACACCCTAAAATGGAAGGAGAAATGTAAGTGAAGAATGCCCTCCTGCACAGATCTGCATTCAGACCTATTCAACGTATACAACTCTTCAGCTATCCAATTCTGTTTATGTGGGGGAATCAAATTCCCCAACATTTTTGTTGTTTTTTTAAAATAAAGTTACTAGCCTTCATTAGTGAACTTTTAAAAACAAAAACAGAACATGTGTTTAGAGGTTCAAAGCATGCCATTATATAATGGGAATAATTTATAGGACCTAACGAGAGATACTTGCAGAATTAGATATGAACAAGGTTCTTAAGCACCAATTCTTAGAAGCAAAATATACCCCCCCAAAAAAAAAACACCAGAAGTTAATCTGTTACATTTCTTCAAGAAACCCACTTTGCTCTGGATCACATATTTCTCTTCAAATTTTAATTTCTTCACAACTTTGCTAGGCTTTATTAGGATATATAACTATGCAACCCAGCATGTATACATGTGTATGTGTGCATATAAGAATTAATGAGATGTATTATTTGCAGAAGAGGGCTAGGACACTTCCCTTATCTAGGAAAGGCTACAGTGTTTGGGGCTTTAGTCTAAAGAAAAGGCAGCTGAAGGGGGACATGATTGATACATATAAAATTATGCAGGGGATGGATAAAGTGGACAGAGGGAGGCTCCTAGAACCAGGGGACATCTACTCAAATTGAGTGTTGGGAGAGTGAGAACAGACAAAGGCAAGTATTTCTTTACCCAGCGTGTTGTTAGTCTGTGGAACTCCTTGCCACAGGATGTAGTGATGGCATCTGGCCTAGATGCCTTTAAAAGGGGATTGGACAGGTTCCTGGAGGAAAAGTCCATCACAGGTTACAAGCCATGACAGGGATATATACTCTCCAGGCTTAGAAGGAAGGGACCTCCAAATGCAGGGGAGGGGTATCAGGAGACAGGTATCCCGTTGTGTCTTGTGCTCCCAGAGGCATCTGGTGGGGCCACTGTGAGATACGGGAAGCTGGACTAGATGGGCCCTTGGCCTGATCCAGCCGGGCTCTTCTTACATTCTTAAGAGAATACTGTATGTGCAACCGTTCATATTCTGTCTAGTGTCAGCCAATAGATGCTTAGAGGGTTAACTGTCAGATATAAGAACATATCAGTTAGTATGAGGCTTGTCTGTTGATATGTTAGATGTTCAGTTGCGACTGTTTGCTGCTAGGTAGGAACTGATAAGTGTCTGTTTTGAAACTGTCATAAGAAGTCTTTCAAGCACAGATCAAATCTATACAAGTCAAATGTTCCAGTATTCTTAGATTACTCTTCAGCATACTGCATTTTAAGGAAACATTCTTAAAGTTTACTATGACTGAATGATTATTCTTTTATCTACTGGCACATACACATATACATAGTAAGGGAGACTATTACTCATGATCTGTCTGGTTTTTTCATACTCATGCTCAATCTGCTGTATACAAGCTCTCAAAAATTTCAGCAGACTTCTCAATTAAACATTATTATGCACTCAGGCAAAATAGCCCAACTTGCACATTTCAAGAAAGAACTTTTAGCCAGATGATATTTCTGGAATTTCTTCCCTGTAGTCAAACCCCCAGTTCCACCATTATCCTTGGCACAACATAGTCACGGCTGCAATTTGAAAACACTGGGCTGGTTCATACTAGGTCCCAAGGAAGGTATTAACACACGAGGCACAGTAGGGATAGCATGTCATGTACATTCTTTCCAACTGCAGTGTAAGAAACTATATCAAAATTACAACTATTTTACTTTGTGTCTATTTCATCCTGCAGTTCCTTTAAACATTCGAAGCTCGATGGTTTGGCATATATTCCCATACTGGTAGGAACAGAAAGTTACAAACAAAACAACAAAAATAACATTTTGCACCGTTCCTCTCTCATGCAGGGCAAATATTCAATAATACCTGCTTTCCAGGACCAACCACAAAAACTCCTCCCAGGACAAAGCCTTCTCCATCCAAGTTTCCTGTATATCCACTCTTCCAGGCACGGAAGAAATTCCTCCAGACGCTGCAGCGGATAAAGCCCATGAACAACATTTTTCTTTTCTGAGGCCCATAGAATTGTTTCTGAAGAAGAAGGTGAGACACATTCAGCTAAAAGTTAGCAAGGGAGATAGTGTGTCTAGAGAACTACAATACTCAGTGACAGAGCTGAAACCAGTGGTAGCTGCCACACTACATACAAAGGTCAGGGCTGTGTGTAGGACTACAGAGGCCACATTGATTGTACTGAGAATAAAGAAGTTTATTCTCTCTCTCAGCATCTCAGTTTTCCTGAGAGTCTACAAAAGCAGGTTTTGAGCTTTAGATACGCTTAAGGTTATATATTCTGCGGTATCTTAAAGACTACAACGTATTTTACAGTATAAGCATTTGTGGGCTGTAGTCCACAAAAGCTGAGGCCTTGACAATAGTAACAGTCTCTGGAACGCTTTTTTCTGCTGCAGCAAAAGCAAAACTATGTGGCATATTGCTGAAAAATAAAGGTTTTGTTTTTTTGTGTTTTTTTTCCTGAAATGTCAGGAACTAGAGAATGAGCTTCACAAGATCTTCAGTGTCTGCCATGTGTGGCTTCAGACTGCAGAACTTCCAGAGGCTGATGAATCCAGCTCCTCTCCTCTCAGAATTAGGATTCCCTGGCTGCAGAATCATCCTGCATCCACCTGTGTCTTACTTTTTACTCTTCTCTTTGTTTGTTAGTAGTGTGTGTCTGTCCACATGCACACAAATGCATACCATCCCCAATTGCGTGCATTTTTTGTAGTGACAATCAGCATAATTCGGTGAGAAATAAAGCGAAATTATTAGCTATTAGTTTCGGGATGCTCTGAGATCTTCTTGTGCATCTGCTATGCATCCTGAACAAGAAACCAAGGATCATGTAGCCTGCCATCTGAGTTCTGAAGCCCATTTTGAGACAGAACAACACAGATTGGGTCTTGCGGATGGATTCAGAGAAAAAAGAGTGTTTCAGAAACAGAGCAACAACCTGACTTTATCTATAACTTGCTATACAGGTGTGGTTTGCAGACGAGTGTTTTGTGGATGTTCAGAGGCCCAGTAAATTCTTCATAGCTGTAGGCCTAAAAGTCCAATTCACGGTAATTAACTACATTTATATCTGTGTTGAATTGTTGCCATAAAGTTTCTAACAGTAATAAGGAACAGAATGTAGCTTTGTAGGGGGAGAAAAATAGGAAGCATGAATGGAATGTAGCTCCCTGTGTGTGTCCACATCTGAATGTGGGAACCAAGAAATCTGCATAGGCACACACAGGTGGCAGAATGCAGGTTGCAGAAAAGAAGACAGAAAACTCCGGGTGTGTGTGTCTGTTTTTAATCCTGCCTGAAAACTCTGTAAATATACCATCTTTTAATAGTAACAGAGCTTTTATTTTCTGAGAGGCAAACAATGCTCGGGGCATTACTAATGGTAGGGCATTCCCCTACCATTATCAAACAGAGCAACATGCCATTAATTCCCTCTGTTACTATTTGTGGGCCATCTGCTTTCTGTTTTTAATCCTGCTTTTTTTGAAGGCTAGAATGCTTAATTGAGGGTGCAATCAAATTTCTTCAAAGGATTAAAATGATGAAGGGAGTAAATTGCTGCTCCAGTCTTTCTCTTTATCTATGTGTGGTTACAAGGGAAATAGTGAACACAGCAATACTTCAAAGCTTTACTGCACACCTCTGATAATGATACATAATAGAAGCTGAAAGCCAATTAACCTATTAAGTAGTAGTATCTAAACAATTCAACATACTAGCACATCTCCTATAAGCCCTTTAGCTACACAGCAGAAAGAACTTGAGGAGACTTGTGAAGGGCAAGAAAGAGGAGGAAAGGGGAATGAATACAATAAAGAGATTCAAGTGTTGTGTAAGGGGATTTAATAGGCAGGGCCACTTACTAACATGGATTTCTGATGCCTGGTCAAAAGCTGTACTGAAGTGTAGTCCCACACATGCACCCAAAAGGAAAATAATAAGAGAGGCATGCCTTGTAGCAGGAGGAAAACCAGTGTTGTGTAGTGCTTAGATTGGTGGACTAAAACTCAAGAGACATGGATTCAGCTCCTGACTCAGCAATGAAATTCACAAGTTGACCTTGGCCCAGTTTTAGTCTCTCAGTCTGATCTAAATCATAGCATTTTGGAAAGAATAAAATGAAAAGAAAGCCATACACACCATCTTCGGCTCAAGAGAGAAAAAGGTGCAAAGGTAATAGATAAAATGAACAGCAGCCAGAATCCTGTTAGTTATGCCTACTGGTGTAACTTTCACTTGTGAATTGTTGCAGGTTAAGAATGTAGGCATATTCTATTGCAGACCAGTCACATGACACAGTGTGCCACAGGAAATGACAACATTGACTTCTTCACTTGTGACAATTCACCACTGAAAGTTATGCCAATAGAAGTTATGCTGGCATAAATAAGTAGACAAGAGAGCTGCTGTCACAAGCATTTAAACTTAAATCACTTTATATGGCAAATGCTGACTTGCATTGCAAAGAGTTTCATATTTGCAAGGATCACACATTCAGTCAAGCAGCACAAAGGCTCAAGAGCTTTCACATATAACACTTAATGCACCTCTAGAATTCTCTAGGACAAAAATGTGATCCATGTTGTAGGCATTCGTAATGTGAACCAATGAATATTTGGGTCAGAAACATTTTTAGGCCATGTTGCAAACCAATTTAAGTAAAAATAGTTGTGTAGCTCCCTCACGAAGCCACCTTTAGCCAGAGAAACATTTAAAGTAATTTCACCCCATCACTATACTTCCCCTCTACACACAAATAACCTGAACACGAATCAGGTTACCTTTTCATCCAGAAATATTTCTCCTTTGAAGTATGGCTGAAAATCCTGCACCTCCGTTCCAATGTTCTCTTTCACAACAGCATATAAGGGGACCCCGACCTGGTCAAGCTGGGGCTTCAGAGAGGAAAGCTCAGCAGCCTCCTGAAAGGGACACAAAAGCTGAGTTTTATTTATGCAGCCTAGCATCCACCCCAGATTTATCTGCAGGGCACCTGGCCTGCTCTAGCAAGAGAGGCATTGGAATTAAATTTAATAATTGTGAATTCATGTCAAGATGGCATCACAGCCAGGATACTGGAGTTCCAGGCTCTTCTGGCCAAGTCAAGGTTGGTCAAATTCCAGAGGTAAAGAGGCCATACTCAGCCACTATGAGATATTGTAGGGTCGTATCTATATCCCCCACCCCTAAAATATATATTTCTCTTTTTAAACATATTGTTTGGGGGGGGGGAACAACAGTGCCTGAAACCACAACAAGATTGTACTCAATGTGCTCTAGAGGGTGCAATGGGACTTTCTGACTATTTTTAAAAAACATTAAAAGTGAGGAACAGGTTTTGAGGCTGAATACAGTTCACAGGGTGTGTTTCATTGCTCTCTTGGAATAAGTGGCTTATCTATAGAAGAGACAGAGCCTTCTCAGTGATGGTGCTGCCACATTGATAGAACTCCTGGTGATGGGCTTTCCCACTGCATTAAGACATTTTTTTTATTGTATCTCCCATTTGGGGTAGGTTTTTCAGAGCAACAGGAGGAAGGCAAAGGCATGAATCCAAGGACATTAGAATGCCAACAGCCAAGGCTGAAATGCGAAGATTTCTTCCCATAACATTTCAAATCAAATCAAAAGGAGGGGGGGAATGGATAATGAATCGGAAGTATCAAACATGATACTGAAAGAGCAAAAGAAGTTGCCAATATGCTTGGAGTCTAAACACGAATTCTCAGGAGGAGTGTAAGAAGTGCAGGATCAGATCCATAGTCCATTCTCTTGTTTTCCACAGTGGTCAACCAGATGCTTCCGAGAACCCACAAGAAGGACAAGAGTGGAACAGCATCCTCTCATTCACATTCTGTAGCACTTAATATTGAGAGGCAGGCAGCTCCAGAAAGTGGAAGGAACAGACAGCCATTTTGACTACTAGCCACAGACAGACTGACCCTCCATAAATTGTCTACACCCCTCTGAAAAACTTTTTTAATTCCAGTGGGCAGCAGAAGCAGTTTCTAGCAAGTATACCTTAGCATTGAGAAAGAATTTAACTGCTGCAGGTCTGAGAGACAGAGATTGTCTCTCTGAAAACAGCAGCATACTGCATCTTGAACAAAAACGTAAGGAAAAGCAAAACATTATAACACCATTAAGATGAACACATTCATTACAGCATGAGCTTTCATGAACGACAACTGCTGAAATCCTGTTGGTGTAGCTACATGTTTGCAAGGCGGATGGCATCATCAGCTGCAGCCTTTTATCGCTAAGTAAAAGTATCCAATTCCCATCCCTAAGGTTCCGAGGCTCCCTTTTGTCCTAGAGAAGCCGTCGGGGTGGGGCTGGGGGCTCATGATGGCAGAGGAAGTCTTTAATATTCAAAAATCACTGCCGCCAGTCCCACCGTCCTGATTTCAGCCAATATATCCGAAGAAGCAGGTTATACTCCGTGAAAGCTCACTCCGAAATCAATTTGCTCATCCAAAGGTGCCACTGCTGCGCTCTCATTTCTCTTTTCTCCTTATAAAAGAAAAGCTAGTTCACCTCACCGCCTGTTCTCCAGAAATACTCATAAAAGACACCCAAGCTACCTCTCTGCACAAAAATCATCCTGGTCGCCGCACTGCCATGATGACGGCCCCATTCTTCTTCCACAGCTCTTCTGCTCTGAATGTTCTTTGCTCTCCTTGGAAACAGGCAATGATATAAGTTACGATACAGTACTTTTATTTCACTGGGACTGCAGTATGTGGTGAACAAATCTATAGCCCTGTACTGGATCAGGCTGGGTTTACTGCATCCTTAAGAGGTCTTTGGGGACTACTTGTATGACAAGATCCATATGTTAAATAGAATCAAATCATAATTTCAAGCCAGCTTGTTAGTAGAGAATGACAGAGCCTTTTATTGGAAAAAAATAACCTTTTATTTCAGAAACTGGGAGAATATGAAACAAGGTTATTAAACCAAACATCAGTTGCCATGACCAATGAATGTTGTAAAGCTTTTATCCTACAAATGGAAAACTAACCTATCACTATTTCCAAAACCTACTGCATTTTTTTTCTTAAACTGAACATTTAATTCCTAGTTTCTGAAGAATCTCAGTTTCTTACCTTCCCCCAGAGTCTTCAGATCTATTGCCTCCAGAAAATCCAGTGAGGCCTTTTCAGCTTGAGACAGAAATAAATCTGTATTAGCCAGGATTATCCCTGTCACAGCAGCCCCAATGGCTCCAAGACCAATGGTCCACATTGCCACAGAAAAATTCCCCTGGTCAAGTTGTGAAAACATGCCTAGAAACAGAGGAAAGCACAACCTGTTATTCCAGCGCTAAACTACTATATTTTTCTGTTTATAAGACACCCCCATTTATAAGACACCCCACACACACTTTTCCAACCCCAAAATTAAGAAACCTTAGCTTTGAGTGTTCAGCCTCTGGGCTCAGAATGCTCAGACATTACAAGTCCCTGTTGCATCTGAACCTACAGGCTCCACCTTCAATGAGGTGTGTTCCAACTGGTTTGTTCAGCATCAGCTAATGTCAGATCATCTGTGGAAGATCAGGGGAAGTGATTTTTCCCCAATCACTCTTCTCTCAGTGCCATTCTGTTTTCTCCCTTCTTGCTTCCTTTCCCTTCTTCTCTGTCCACTTTCCGAATCTGCAGCCACAATGGCAGTTGGAAGCTGAGGCGGTTGGTGCTATGTTTCAACTTCGGGGTGTGTTCTCAGAATCTGCAGTCACAATGGCAGTTGCAAGCTGAGGTGGTTGGTGCTAGGGTTCAACTTTGGGGGTGTGGGTGTGGTGCATGTGACTGCACTGGCAATGAGATGACAAGGATGCATATAGCTGTGCTGGACTTAGTGGGGGATCTCGTGGAATGTAGCAGCACAAGGAAATGACATGGGGCAGCTTCCAGCCCCACACATACCTCAGGACTTGGGCCCCTTCCCTCTCTCTTTTTTCCCTTTTCCACCCCTGCATGGCACTTTCACTCCAGGCCTAGCTGCCTCTTTTCAACCACCCCCTTCTTCTCCACCTCCTTGAGAGGAGCAAGCCAACTTCTGATGTGATGAATCACTTCATCCAGTATCAATTGCCAATACATAATTCAGCTGCTCAGCTAAACAATGAGGAAAAAGAATCATACCAAAAAGAATGCATGCCCTACTGCTATGCCAGAAAATTGCACGACAGCTCTTAAATGGGGAGGATGGATAAATAGAAACACATGCAGAAACAGTCACCCTGATCTATCCAAATGGTGCCATCAGCAAGCCATATCCCGATCTATATGCCAGTGTGGAACCCTCTAATATACTAGTTTAAGACATCAAGACAGATTCAAACACACAACAAAAGTCAGCGATTAGCAATCCCCTGAATCATATTGGCTTCCTTAAAAAATGCTGGCCTGTTTCTGAATTGACAACTCAGTAGTAAAAAATGAAAGAAAAAATGGCTGTATCTGTACTTGCTGGCAAGCTACAAGGGGGAAAGACATTACAACTGGTAAAAGAACAGATTTCTGCTACAGACTACAACACATTTTCCTAAGAGCTAGCCCCACTGAATTCATTGATACTTACTTCTCAGCAAACAGGCATAAGATTACAATTGTTCCACTCTCTCACTCCCCCTCTCTACATACATCTTTAGCTAAGCTATACATGACCTGGCTGACCAGGATCATACAAAAACTCATGAGTTAGGATGACGGGGCTTTATAAAATAAAACTTATTTTAAAAGCCTTAACTCCAGGTGTGATATAGATTTAGCAATCTTTGAGTGGTTAACAAACTTTTGAGTGCAGGATATTGTTGCTGATTTAACAGCTCCATTCCCTTGGACATGTCCAACTAACTTTATCAATTCTCTTCCTTTATAGCCTTACCTTCCCTGGCTCCCACCTCCTTGATTTCTGAACAGCTACCTATAGGGAGAGCAGCAAAAAATGAACACTGAACAACTTTTGAAACTAATCCAGCCATCTAGCAAACCATCAGTCAACTCCTGGTTCTCTCTGACAACAACAAAAAAAATCAGTCATTAGAACAGCTTTTAAAAATTAACTGTTTTCTTTTACAAACTCACGAATCTTACTTCAATGGCTGGGGGTGGGGGGCTGAGAGCCCGAAATCCTGATCTCATAAACCTGTGCAAAAACTACTCTTCTGATATTAACAGTGACTGAAACTTACTGCTTAAACAATACCAACCAAGGTTTGCTAAAAGGGGAACAACAGTGACTCTTAACATTTAAATGGTTCACAGCTACAGCACAGGGACAAGACAAGGTAGTGAGGGAGAACTGGAGACTAATGACCTATAATTCTGGTATGATTTGATTGATTCTTATCTCCACCAACCTTCCAATTAGTGTTTCTGTCTGGTCAGCTGTCTTTCATCGGATTGAGAATGAACCTGGGATTATCTGGGCTAAAGTTTTTATTGCTCGTACCAATGAAAGATGGGAAACAGTGTTGATTCACAACAACACATTCCTGCACTTAAGAGCACAATAAAAGTGTCTTTTTTACTTTGACTAGGAAACCACTATGAAATTAGCAGCTTGGTTTGTTATATAAATCTTCTTTTTCCAGTGCAGGATTCCAGCAGCTCAGGGGCAAACCATTTATTCAGGTGTAGGGCTGGGAAAGACGTCTGCCTGAGGATATGAACAAACCCTGTTAATCAGAGTAAGCAGCTCTTACCTAGATAAACCATCTAACCAGAAAAAGGCAGTGCCTTATCATTTTCACATCTGCATAGTTTACTACAAAATTTTTCATCCTTGTCTGTTGTCACTTTTGTTATTTGCTACCCTGTTAGTGCCAATTTATAGTGACTTTAATCACTTTGTCAAAGTATGTGAAATGTGTTTACTATTACCACGCACCAGGTTTTTATGAGTGGGAGTTTGAACCCAGGTGTCCTGAGGCCAACACTCTATACATCACACTATACCATGTTTGCCCAAAAATAAGACAGGGTCTTATATTAATTTATGCTCTAAAAAACGCACTAGGGCTTATGTTCAGGGGGTGTTTTATTTTACAGTCATGTAAAATCATGTAAAAACAGTGCATCTTCTGGTTGCTGCACAATGGTGGAGGGTGGGATTTCACTTAACTGGGGCTTATTATTGGGGTAGGGCTTATATTACAAGCATCCTGAAAAATCATACTAGGGCTTATTTTCAGGTTAGGTCTTATTTTGGGGAAAACAGGGTACTAACAGCAGTCAATGCAAAACAGTCTGTATTTTATACTAGGGCTCATTTTCAGGTTAGGTCTTTATTTTGGGGGAAACAGGGTACTAACAGCAGTCAGTGCAAAACAGTCTGTATTTCTAAAGGGACAAATTAGACAAGATTGCATCTCCCACCTTTTAAAAAAAAATTTAAATGCAACCATAAAAGCTCCTTGAGACTTAGAGCGAGTTAATCATCACAAGCCCCCCACCTACGCCATTTCCCAGCTTCCATCCAGCACTCTCTACTATTATCTCCATAAAGCATAATCTGTACGTCTACTATTATCTCCATAAAGCATAATCTGCAGGGACCTGTACAGAATGGGTTGCTGTATGTCAAAGGCAATCTGCTGACACGTAACAAAATTCAACTATGAATTCAACTATAAACTTGACAGCGTTTCCTTACTTGCATTGCTACATCGACATAAAATAGCATTTTTCAAAAACTAAAACTGAGCAGCGAATAAATGAAACAATGAACAGAGCAATTCCATCAGCAGTACAAACGACATATTGTCATATACAACGCATTGAATAGTGCATAGGTCACTGTGGTGCTGCGATGTTCTTTACCAAGCCAAGACTGCTTATGCCTATTTTAGCCATGCATCGGCACACAGTGATGTACTGAGCCCGGTGTATTTACAGCAATTTAAACAGTCAACGATACACAGACACACTCATTCCTGATTAATGCGGGAAGGGGGAACATAACACCACAGAACAATCTTCCTCTTTGTTACTGAATATATCAAGCATGTAGTAGATCTTAACTGGGTGTGTGATAGAGAAAGCAGAGAAAGCGAGAGCCTTTTAAAATCAATTTTGATTCTAAAGTCATTAAGAAAAGAAATTCACCACCACTAGTAACCCTGCAGATACATACGCATACACTTAAAACCTGGAGTCCATCTGGATCAGAGGAAGCCAAAAGCCATCTAGGTAGCCGACAGGCAGCCAGTGTGTGAAAAGGCTCAGGCCCACGGGAGGATTTTGATGATGACTCCTCCTCCTCCTCCCAGGCTACAATGTTGGCTGCACCAGGCACTTTCCCAGCAAGAAAAACCTTGGCATAAGCCCAAGCAAATCACTCCAAAGCTTTTTACTCAATGCATATCATGTTGAAACACAAGCATGGGGCAAGAGGCTCAAGTATTCCCTTCAAGGCGGTTACTGTAGATACACTTATCTTGGTGGACAGAGCCTCATCCCTAAAGCTACACAATCCACAGCCATTTAGAAAGATGTCACACATTTTACAGCCTAGCAGATAAGCACAGAAACATGACTAATCCATGAAAGCAACTATTCAACAACATGGGCTTTTTTCAGTTTCCAGCTGAATTAAGAAAAGTTGCTTTTTAGACTTGTTAGGTACTTCCAGAATCCCACAGCCAGTGCAGGAAGAGTGGTAATAATAATTTTTTTAAAAGCTCCTGCAGTAAGGATGTGTACACTCTTTGAACAAATGTGCTAAACCAGACTGAACGAGGGATAGGTGTGTAATGCCAGGGTGACTACAGGTCAAGGCAGACATCTCCTGGTCACCCACTGAGCATAACATCCTCTCAGATCCTTCATGTTCCAATTTGTGGAGCTAAAAAAATTTCAACCAAAGACACCTCACAATTCAAACTGAGGAAATGGAAAGTAACCAACAGTATCCAATAGACTGAACTGCTAAAGGTAAAAGCATGTGATAGTTAAACTTCCAGCAGGGCCTGATCAAGCTCAAATCTCCCCTGGATGCTCCAGCTACACAGGCGTTATGGAGAAGTCACCGTATATCCTCTTACAGCCACTCTGCCTGCTATTTTGCTGTAGGGCGAAGTGAAAACCTTGCATAATTGTTGCTAGCTAGGATTCATCCTGTTCCACAATTTTCATTTTTCTTTCCAGTTTATTTTAGTTTACTAAACAGCTCACATTACAAGGACCGTGCCTGTCTCTAGAGGAACACTTATGTTCCTCTTCTCTGGGTTTTTATTACTCTCCTCCTACTCTGCCTTTTCATTTTTTTTTCATTTTGATGCTGGTCTTTGCATCATTTCTAGAGGGGTGTCTATGAGCAGAAGTAAAGCACTGAGTAGGCTCTTTACACCAAGTCACAGATGTTTGTGTTTTCCCCATTCCTGTGGGTTTTTTTCCACAAATATTGAGAAACAGACAAATACTATCACAGATCCAAGAAAAGGATATCTTCAAAAGGGCACAGAATAGGTTGGGCCCTTACCTGTTTATTTTTATTTAGGCACAGACGGGGGAAGGGTTGCTGTACCTCCTTACTCTGCAGCCACGGCCAAAGTGACAACACCATATGTTTGTGTCTGCATGTACTTTCTACCCCCACATACACATGTATGCACACACACACGTAATATAAACATTTACTTCCATGGAAGCTTTCAAACAAAAGAACAAATGCAAAATTACGGAAGAGCAAATAAACATAGCAAAAATCACACACACACACAAAAAATAGTGAATGTAAAGTTTTGTCTGCCCAACAGACATCAAAGTAGGTTTCAGGAAAGCCTTTTTTAGGCAGTTTATTCCACATTTATACCATGGTCACCCTTAATCAAAGGACTCTATTGAAAGATTGAATTCAGAATCCCAGAATTAACACTACCACACTGGAATTGTTTGCTTGGACAAATCAACTCAAGAGGCTTCATTCATACCTTATTGATTACAACCTTGAGTTAGCCTGTTACTTCTTTCTTGTGAGCTGAACTAAGCAGCCACTTAGCATGCATTATGAAAAAGGAGGCCACCCATCACCATAAAAGGAGGTCAAAGAAAGAAGGTGATTTGCATTCAATCACATGTGCTGCTTTATACATACAGATGTAATTCGTATATATTGGAATTTAAATAGGGTTACAATGCCTCTTACCCAAGTGAGAAAAACTGTGACCAGGTGACCTGTGTGCTTGGCTAAGTCTGCTGTTCAGATGCTTACCATGGATGGACAAATTCAAGCTCCCTCATCTTACTCTTTATGGTGTCTTTACAGTAATACCCCTTTATCTATGGGATCAGTATCCAATGATTCACGGCCTGAAAATATTAAAAATATTAGAAGAAAGAAATCCAGAAAAAAACTATTTTCACATATATTACCAGAAATGCCCACTAATGGGAGCTGATGATTGTGCTATGAATTTTTATTAGTGAAGAAGTGGCTAGTTTTGGTAATGCATGTGAAAATAATTTTTCCTTTCCCCTTTCACATATATTACCAGAAATGCCCACTAGTGGGAGCTGATGACTGTGCTATGAATGCTTATTAGTGAAGAAGTGGCTAGTTTGGGTAATGCATGTGAAAATATTTTTTTCCTTTTTTCTCCTCTCTTTTACTATGCTAAATATATAGCATTTGCTATTATCTGTGATTTTGAGTATCCACTGGGGGCCTTGAAACCAATCCCCAACAGATATGGGGGGGGGATTCCTACTGCATTTTTCAATCAGCCTTGGACTGGATAGCCCATGAAACAGAGAACATCTTCAGAAAGAGCACTGTACCCTGGCAGTCCTTCTAATGGAGGACTATCTGTCATGGAGGAGGTCACACTTCAGCTGTACAAATCCAGAAGTATGATGTCGTAGAGCCCTCCTTAGAGCAAGACAAGGCATGTGACACAGTTTTGTGTCTCCTGCTCCACCCCAACTATTTTAAAAGGCATCAGTCAGTCTTGAGAAATACAATCAGGAGGAAAACAATGGGGATGAGTCACCTAATCTTTTCCCTTGCTG